AAAGAAGCCAGCGTGGGGCACATATATCCCTGCCAGCAGAACGACTGCTGTTTGGCTTCAACACGCTGTACTTAGTTTGACAAGCGTGTAATACTACAATCACAGATGTGCCCATGCTACATGACTACAACCTGCTCTGCAATATTAACCATTCCGATTCCGAACTTTAAGTTTTAAACATTTATGTAGGCTACATTCATTTCATTTTTTACATATCAGAAAATTTGCATGGTGACCTTAAAACATTTGGAATGTAACAGGGTTGAAGAGGTATAAAAACAGGTTTTAAAACATAGGATATTTTTTTTTTCTATAAAAATGATTTATTTACAAGACACAAACTAAGTGACCAGAATTTACTAAGTTATCCATTTAAATGACAACCTTCTGTGGTGGCCTTGAAATAATGCAGCTCTTTAGGGTTCAGTGTTGGATTAGTAACCACATATTTACATTTGCCGGTGAGTTTAATAATCAGCCAATGGAAAATCCATATTAGTTAATCACTAGTACAACATAAATCACTGCTTTACTACCAGAGTTTAAATTTATATTTACATTTATTAATTTAGCTGACACTTTTATCCAAAGCGACTTACAAGTGCTATATATATATCAGAGGTCGCACACCTCTGGAGCAACTAGGGGTTAAGTGTCTTGCTCAGGGACACATTGGTGTCTCAGTGGATTCAATCCCGTGTCTCTTAAGGCTGATGTCTTTTCCACTGTAAAAAATCTATATAAAAAAGGAGTAGGTGGATTTTTACCATTATAGGGTGGTTGTGTTGTGTGTACAAATTGCAGACACACACTTACATAGAAACATCATGTAAAAGTGAAATTTGCATAATAGGTCTGCTTTGAAGCAAACACCATTTTTATTACACTATTTTATAAAGTATGCTTGAACATGCCTAAAGAAAAGCAGTATCTTTACAGACTTTAGTATTTTGTCTATTTTTTTTTTATCTTATGCTGAAAAGTTTTCCTAAAGCACTACAAAATAATCATCAAATACTTGACTGAACTAGAGGCGAGTCTTTACTCCTGTGGGCGGCGAGGAGGAGCGGGCAACATGATGTCATCAGGCACTCCTCCTTCATGCACATATGTATCAGAGCTTTATGAGTTGTGGGGACTGGCACAAACTGCCTCTATGAGCCTCACACAAGCAGACTGAACTCCAGCCAGCGCACAATGAAGCTCTATTCAAGGATGCAGCGCTGCCCCTTTAAGAACACCCACTACTGAGGGCTCGAGCTGAACAGGGTCACGCGGGGAACAGAGAAATGAGGAAACACCAGAAATACAAAATACCTACTGTAACAGCACACACACGGAAAACATCAACGTTTTAACAATACAGCATACACATAAAACACGAGTGAAATATACAAACCACTTTCAATGAAAAATATTCAACACCCTAACACTGATCATTTGGCAAAAGCGCACAAAGACACACTTAGTGATGGCAAGGCGCCTACAGCTTGTTTACGTCACACTCGAGCACACATTCTTGCATGTGTTTGTTTCGGTCCAAAACAGCAAAATATAATAGAGCTATACAGTACATCAGTAAAAGTCCCAACATGCATGGTTTCTTAGGCGTGACCGTGAGTCCGTGACTCTACATGTTTAGCTGTGGGTGTGTCTGCAAGACAAAACTGAACTCTTGAAAATGAGTGTATCATGAGTGTCCAATGTCCATGACCTTAACCAGCAATTAGTTATATAACATCATGCTATTATTGCTCATCTGTGTTAGTTAATAGTCAATAGCTTCTCAAAGAAGGCCATCAATCCATCGTCTGATCCGGAGATATAGCCAAGCAACAAATTCAGATTGCTTTGATAAGGACACAGTGTGCGGAATGCCATATTTATGCAAGAGACAGGAAGTTGGGCATGTGATATGTGTTGAACTAGGAAAGATTATTAATTATAATCATAACGGTTACACTTTATTTTGATAGTCACTTTAGACAGTCTACTAACTATAAGTAACTTTTCAACTACATGTCAACCAAGTGTCATTAAAGTATTAGTAGGCTGTAGTAGACTGTCAGTAGACTGTTAGGTTAGGGTTAGGTGTTAGGGTTCAGGTTAGGAGAACAAGTTGCTAAGTTACTTACAGTCAGTTGAATGTCTGTTGGGGGACCAACAAAATAATGTGTTAGCAGATATTAAGCTGACAGTCTACTAATACTCTAATGATAGTTAGTTGACATGTAGTGGCAAAGTTACTTAAAGTTAGTTGAATGTCTAAAGTGGACTATCAAAATAAAATGTTACCATAATAACTTATAGAGGGGTGCTGGTTTATCATTCAGGCCTTTATTACTGTTTTCTCTAATTGTATGCAAACTAAGACATGGGGAGTTTACAGTATGTCTCTAAAATCCCTCTGTCAGCTCCTGCTTGAATCATTCACCCAGAACAAATTTGCTAATAAGAACATTTTCTAGCCATGTTATTAATTTGCTGTAATATGGGTTTTTAGGATACCGAGACCTATTACAGAAGTGCATGTTTTAGTTGAACCTGTTAACCGTCACCCCCTATTTGGGCAGATCTGAACTCCAACGGTTGTGATTCATGAATGCTTGCAAATACAGACATAAGGTTGGTTTGGCTTTTTAAAGAAGACACGCATCAGCAGATTATTGCAGAAGGGAAAGCACTTCAAAAATGTGAAAGAGTGAAAACGTTATCTAGTTTGAGTTTCATACAAAATATAAATTTTACAAAATAATCTGGACTGTAAAATGGCTAGAAAATCAAAGCATTATGTCTAATCAAGTTTGTTCCCAACTTGAAGTTTGTAAAAATTATATAAATAATTAATTGAGCCAGCTAAAAGAATTTAAAGTACTGTTCACATGCATGGTAACTTATTGTCCAATTTTGATTTAAAAAATTGTTTTCACAGAATGAATTTGAGTGTTTAAGCTTTCAAATGATACCTCATTTATGATTATTACTAAAATATGTGATATGCGAGGGCAATAAGGTTAAAAATTTAAATTGTATCAATATTCATCTTTATGTCATTCCAGACCTGTTTGATTTGCATTCTTTCATTCATAATTCTATGGAAATTTTGCAGATTACAGTAGAAGCAAATAGTGAACAAGTTCTGTTAAGTTTCCATACCAAAAAAAAAAAAAAGCGTTGACAACTTGACACAATAATTAATGCTATTTGATGTCTAGACCGACAAGTATTAATATCCACTAGTGCGACTGAGAATTTCAGTGAATAATCATTTAAATTTCAGTCCGTTCCAAGACTCTGATTTAGATTAAGAATTGAATTGAGAATGTTTTTAAATTCAAATTCCATTATTCAATTTGAACTAGCACACGAGATGGAGAGCAATTGAATGTAATTCAGTACGCTATAGTATTTATTTGAGATACATCGTTTTTTTATTAATCGAGCAAAAGAAAAATATTCTTTATATTAGTCTTCCAATTAGTCGTTAGATTAGTCGACTAATCGATAATCATTTACCCCAGCCCTGATAGATGGATAGATAGATAGATAGATAGATAGATAGATAGATAGATAGATAGATAGATAGATAGATAGATAGATAGATAGATAGATAGATAGATAGATAGATAGATAGATAGATAGATAGATAGATAGATAGATATGTTTCGAATTTAGTTATGGTATAGAATTTTGTCAGCCAAGTTCCAAAATCGTAGTATCTTTAGCCATATCATCCGCAACTTCTCCTTTCTGAGGATTGACACAAGATAACACACCAGGCTGTCCTCTATCTTTCCAGCAGATGGGTGAAACCTCATGCCCTCTGACCTCACACCATCAAGCACATGGTCTGCATTCCATGCCACCTCCTCCCAGAAGCACACACTTGTGTGTCAGTGTGAAGTTTCAAATGGCTCCGTGGTGGGAGGTATTTCATTCAACAGCACTATTAATACTCTTTTCATTCTCCCACTTATAGCTCTGTTACTTACTGTTACTCTAGCCATATTCTCACAATAAGAAATATTTTAATTTTTTCAGGTCGATGTACTGAATTGCTGCAGTTGTATAATTTAATTTACGTTCCATACTTCATCTTAGACACTTTTTGTTATACTGGACACAGCTGCTTGGATGACAAGTATGACACTATCTTCACATATTTTTTTAGCTTTCAAAGCGGAACGTATGTGGTTTATGGTCAAAAGTTAAGTTTCTTTCTTCTGTTGAAGACAAAAGAAGATGTTTTAAAGATTATTGGTGACTAGAAAGCACCCATTGACTTCCATAGTAGGAAAAAATACTATGATAATCAATGCGTGCTATCAGCTGTCTGGGTCAAACATTCTTTAATGATCTTCTTTTGTGTTCAACAGAAGAAAGAAACTCATTCAGGTTTGGAACAACATGAGTGTGAGTAAATGATGACACAATTTTGATTTTTTGAAGTGAACATTTTAGATATTTTAAAAGATATTAAACAATGTTTACCCCATTATGTTCTGTTTGGAGTCTCATTTTATTAGCTCAAAAACATACTTAACATATGACTAACGGGTTGGTAACTTATGAGTCTATGAGAAATGATTATAAACATGAGTTTTATATGAGTAGTTATTTCTATAGCATAACGTTACTCCTGTTTGGGGGTGACGTCAAATTATCAGACCCAGAACACTGGATGAATGAAATAAAAACAAATGAAGTAAATATTCATACAGTAAGTAGTCTATCAAAAAACAAACAAACAAAAAAAACCCTCTCAGTTTCTCTGACTCAAGTGTGTGAATCAACAGGTGAATTATTTTTATTTAACGAGTGGGAGCGTCTCCATGGCAATAGCAACAGTTCATTTATATCATACCCAGCATTTTGCGTCTCACACTTTCCATGAAGCAAATGAATAACGGACGTTATTGTTATTACTCGCAATGTTATGCTAGCGTCTTACAAAATGAAATTGTTGATCAGTTAAAGCCACGGCAATGTTAATGACTTACTATTTCAGCAGCCAGTATCGTTCCTTTCCGAGTTCGCACATAATTCTTCAGTTTCTCCAAACAGCCTCCGAACGGACTCTCCTCAGTTTCTGCCATTCTGCAGATGAAACTGTTATTCCTATGAAATAACGCCTTCTTAGGAAGCCTAGTGTCCGTATAAGCAAACAGTGAACGTTGAAACGTTGAAAGCGTGAAAATGAAAGAGTAGTTATTGATTCAATCCGCGAACTCTGACGCAGCTTTCAGCTTCTTCATGAACTTCCTGCGAGCGCGCGCCTCGGTTACTGCGAAAGGAAAGAGTGAGTGCGCGGGGCGTTGGCTCAGGCTTTAGTATAGTAGCACTTTCTTGAGGGTAAATCACAGAGAAGGAAATTAAAACCACTAGAGGGAGAGTTTTTACAACCGAGTTTTAAAAACCTAACGAGCTTCCTACCTAAACAGCAGTTAGACAGTAGCCTATTTCTGCTTAGAACTGCCCATAGACATATGTCTATGAGAACTGCCCACAAATGCTGTCTAAGTAAAAAGCGCGCTAGGGTTTGACCGGTTTTGACACACAGCCGGAATATTCATAGCTGTGAGCTGCGGAAATTTTCATTCAGCAGTTCTGACTGCTGCTGAGCTTTCTTTGAAAGACAGTTTTACGTTCATAAATAGGCCTAACTATCAAGTTTTCAAAGAGGAAACCACAGTTGCCCCTTTGTAAATATATTATTATATTATGTCCAGTGTTGGGTGTAACTAATTACCAAGTAATTAGTTACTGTAATTTAATTACTTTTCCCTTGAAAATGTAAAGTAAGGGATTGCTCTTCATTTCTGTAATTTTATTACAGTTACTTCTGATGTAATTGAGGTAAATACTGTGTAGATCAATCTGATCTCACAGCGATTCTTATGGATTTTATGAGGTGTCTAAATCATATGATCGCACTCGTACAAATTCATATGAATTATTGTAAATGATGTATGAAAAAAGTGTGAAATGTCATGAGATCAGACATAAAACAATAGTGGGTTTAACATGTTAAATGTATTGTCTGATGTTAAAAAGTATGTTTTTATAATGTAATCTTCTCCACCTTGGTCAGTTTAAGGATAATTCTTGCAATTTTATAGTATTTATTTGAAAGAATTAAAACAGATTATAAATGTCTATCCTTGTATTATTCAGCTGGTTGAGATTGATATGGGATTTTGAAAGTAATTAGTAATTAAAAGTAATTAAATACTTTTTAGAGAGAGTAATTAGTACAGTAATCGAATTACACTGTTGAAGAGGTAATTAGTAACTAGTAATTAATTACTTTTTTAGAGTAACTTACCCAACACTGAATGTTAGTATCACAATTTGAATGGAAATTACACAAATTAAAGCTGAAAACTGTATAAGAAAAACAATATAAATCAAGAAACAATATAAAATCAATATTGCAGAGCAAGATTATATGCTAGTTTATTAGGTTTGTGCTTGAATTTTTAAATGACTCCTTTCAGACAGAGACCAGTTGCAATTAAATATGTCTTTTTAGTCAAAATGTCATTGCAGTACACAACAGAATAATTATCCCCTTTCAATATTGCAACTCCAAAAAACATTCCCAATTTAGCAAACCATGCTTATAATTCTCCAAACTTTTAATCAAGTTTTCCTGAACTTCTGAAAAAAGTTGAATAAAGTTGGGGCCAAAACCAAAAATATTTAAGCTTTTTTGACCCGATCATGTTCGCTAAATGTTCCTCCTCCGCAGTGGAGAATAGGCTTTATGCACAGCTGCACTACTTCCTGAACTTCAGCCAGCTCCTTGTTTCCTGTCTGCCATTATTGGCCAAACTTGATTAATTCAGGAGGTGTGTCTGATTATTGTTGCCGTGTCTACTGAGGTCAGTCACACCTGAATTAATCAATTTGACCAATAATGGCAGACGGGAAACAAGTAGCTGGCTGAAGTTCAGGAAGTAGTGCAGCTGTGCATAAAGCCAATTGGCACTGCCTCGTTACTTCCGGTTTCTGGACTGGCTGCAGTAACACGCCTCTGTCCATACGGGGGCGCTCGCAGGCGGAGTGCAGAATGGATGGAGGTCTATGGAGCAATACTACAACTCCTTCTTTAACCTCACCAAATAACTTAGTTATTAATCTGATTTGTCTTATTTTGGGTGGGATTCACTAACTACATGGTGTTTAAAGTACATGGAAGTATTTATTAGCAATCTTAACAAATCTGTGATCTGCAGAAAAACAATCAATAAACTTTTCTCATTTGTTGCATTTTTCTTTATCTTTCAAAACTCTTTCCTAGTCACACAAAAGATCTTACTTTATTTTTTCACTCAACACCCAGCAACATACTAATGGAAGTCTTATCTGTTTTCTTCTGAATGACGATGACGAAGATGATGATGATGCCAAGGATAATCACGTTAAACCCACACTACAGTAATGTCCATGAAAGCTCAAGTCCACAAATCTAAATCTCAAATCCTCCCAGTGTCAACCTTAGTGTGGATCCAAAATCCCATACAATTCAGCTTCGGGATCCATAAACTAAAATAAGCCACAGGGCCTCTAAACTCGCTCGCATAGTTTCAGACAAGGGTGCCACCATGAGTGACAGAAAGACAAAAGCCACAGTATGTGAAGTCCTTCTACAAAATAAATAAATAACATTAGAAAAAATACATAATCATACATCAACCAGTCAACATAAGAAAATAAATAATGCTTACTTTCGATTGAGCATCAAACGTTCAGTTTCCCAATCAGGACCATTGATTTCTTGGATTTCTAATGCATGCTTACTCCTCCATTACATGTACTCTCTACACCTGTTTTATACCTGAGAGTATTACTCCTTGATGCCCCCGCAAGGTGTGTAGTATAATTACTACAGCTCAAAAAAAAAAGAAAACATGTAACACTCAGGTTTGAGTGTTACAATACCCATGCAATAACCCTAAAAATCCACTTTTCTCAAGATATCATTTTTTTATATATGTAATGCGAATGTGGTATTTGTATGTTGCAGCTATTTAAAAATTTGATCTGACGTTTTTGGAGTTGTGAGGACCAGTCTTTCACCGGGCTCTCAGCGCTCATGTACCCCGCCTGGAACAGCCTTTCCTCGGCTAGTGCTTCTGACGTTTGCCGCTGGCTCTGATGTCTGTAATCACAACATTTTTTTCTTTTGTCAAATCAACTTAATTAATTTGTTTAGTTCAGATAACATATAATTTTGAGTTTATGATGGTTACATTAATCTCCTTCATTGTATTAACTCACTTTTTCCAGTTCAATGAACTTAAAATTTTAAGGCAACCAGGTAACTTACTTTTTTAAGTTAAACCATCAATATTTTTTTACAGTGTAGAGGTTTGACAGAGCAAGCTGGAAGACCAGCCAGTAGAGCATTACAATAGTCCAGTCTGGATAAAAACAAGTGCTTGGACAAGGAGTTGTGTAGCATGCTCTGTAAGGAAGGGCCTGATCCTCCTAATGTTGTGCAAGGCAAATCTGCAGGACCGGGCAGTTCTAGCAATGTGGTCTGTGAATTTCAACTGATCATCAATTATTAGGCTATATGACATCTCTATGTATAGGCCCATCTATATTTGCATAAATTATGGATTTTATTAGCATTTAATTGTATGTAAGTTTTACATTTTGCTACTTGTATTTTTGATACCTTGGTATTACATTAAAATAAGGTGGATA